TATATATATATATATATATATATATATATATATATATCACTGTATAATTAATATCAGTGAATACAATTCAATTTTATTAGAAATAATATAAGAAATAATATAATTAGTTATAAGATTTTATAGATTTAATAAATTATAATTAAATTATATTAGATAAGATATATTATATAAGATAATAAATAATATTAAAATAATAAGATTCTCTTTTTACTTACTAAAATCATGAAATATATATATCCAAATTTTTTCTTTATTCTTTTTGAATTAATTTAATTATGTGTATGTATTTATAGTTATAATTATATATAAGTTATAGCATACTAGATGGTGTAAAAAAAGATTGGTATTTCTGAAATATATTATAATTTTATAAGATATATCTATTATATTTTTTGTCTGTGCTTATATAAATATATTATCATATTCATACTTCCAGCAATTTTGCTTATATCCAAGCACCATCTACAGAAAAGATTTGAAAACGTGTCGTACACGTTGTCGCATAATTGCAAAATGACAATATTTGACACGTCTCGAATTTTGTAGATTTTATGTGTTACAATGTGAATATTTTTTATGTTGTTTTTTTTGTTACGTTTATTAAATGTAGCACTGTTTAATCAGGTAAAAATTACACAAGTGATGTTTTTTATTAATATTAACATAATTTAAATAATACAATGTTTTAGTACATTTTTTAATCAACGTGTCAATTAAGGTTAAAAATCCTCTAGATATACGATATGACTGATTTGAAAAATTAACCAAACATGCCGAAATTTCGAATGCTTCCACGTACTTCGCGAATTGTAGCATTATGCTCTGCCGCGAATTTTATAAATGCGGCAGATCGAGTTATAATGCCCATAGCAATTGTTCCCATTTCTGACGAATTTAAATGGAGCTTATACTGGCAAGGTTGGATACTTTCTGCCTTTGCCTTTGGTTATTTTACTAGTCAGGTATATTAGGATATTTAATATTAAAAGTTAGTTATGACCTATTTATTTTAAGAAATTATTTAAAATCATTATATTTATATTTAATTTTTATATTAGATTATTGGTGCAAATACAGCAAGTCGTTTTGGATGTAAAATGGTATTAATGTTGGCTGTTTTATTGTGGTCTATTAGTACAGTTATAACTCCAATCTTAGCTCAATCAGTCCTATTGCTCATTATTTGTAGAGTAGTTCTAGGACTTGGAGAAGGTTTAGGTAAAATATTATTAAATAAATAATTTTACAACATTATTAATTTTGTAAATCATATATTTTTCTCTAAATTGTTATTAGGTTTACCAGTTATTTTTCACTTATTTGCACATAATGTACCTGTAGAGGAACGATCTAGAGCATTTGGATATCTTGTAGCAGCTGGCTCTGTTGGACAAGTTGTTGCATCTATTGTATGTTTAAAATGTATATTATATTATATGTATATTATAATGTTATTTTTTCTATATTTTATTAAAAAATATTTATTGATAATTATTTCATTTAAAAGATAAAAAATACTTACAGTTGTGTCCTCATTTGTCATGGCAAACAGGATTTTATTTATTTGGTATAATTGGTATTATATGGACACTTTTATGGTTATTATTATATCACGAAACTAATTCTCAAGATGAAATCCCATTATTTGTACCTAAGGTAAAACAGTCAATTTGTTTAAATTATGTTTTATTTTAAATAAATATTTTAGAATTAATTATATTTCAATTTTAAGACAACACAAAATAGAAGTTTGCGTTGGACTGAATTTATTTCACATTGGCCTTTATGGGCATTGTATATAGCACATTTTGCAATGAATTGGAGTAACTATATAATAATGCAATGGTTACCAACTTACTTGGCTAGAAATCTTTCTGCTAATAAAGAAAGTATTAGTTTAACAGCACTTCCATATATTGTGAACTCTCTTGTTGGTATTGGTATGTATTATACAATATTTTTATTTTATAAAAAAATTATGAAAAATTAAATATTTCAATTATTTCATTACAGTTGCTGGACATAGTGCTGATAATCTCATACAAAAAAGGTGGCCAGTCTTATCTGTAAGAAGATTAATGACAAATATAGGTTTAATTGGTCCTGGTGCATTTTTACTAGCATTTTGTGCTGTGGATAATTTACTTGCTGCAGTAATGTTAGTCTTACAATTAAATTAGTCATTAGTTATAAAATAATTTTTTATTTTAATTTTATAACATAACTTAAAATCATATTTATCTATAGCTTTGTATCAATATCTATGGGACTTTGTGCATGTAATTCTGCTGGTCATCTTAGTAATCATGCAGATATAGCTCCAAATCATGCGGGAATCACATTTGCAGTTTCTAATACTATTGTATGTCTTTATCTATTAGCATTACAAATATTTTACAAATAATAGTTAAATTAGTAATTTAACTATATATTTTAGGCAACTATACCGGGTATTTTATGTGGTCCATTAACAGCTGAATTAGTGACTGCATCGCATGGTCGTTGGATGCCTGTTTTCGTGTTAGCTGCGGCAATCAATTTTACAGGGGCCATCATATACCAAAGTCACAGTGCAGCTTTACCAGTATTGTGATATGTAATGAGCAAAATCGTGTTCACAAATATTTATTATCGAAGAAACATAATTGATAAAAATATGTTGCATAAACATACTTTCTTCGATCATGATCATCGAATACGACTTTTATTGAAAATTTTATCACTTATAATAAGATACCAATATGGCACATTTATGACACATTGGTTAGTTGAAAATATATCAATGTATTAGACACATATAGAATAAGAAAGTTTTACATTTTTTGCGTTCAGTTTGCAGTTCACGGCATAATGCTGGTCATTCATTAGAATAGTGCCATAATTTTTTCATGGCGGAATTGGTTAAACAACTTTTTTAAGTGAATTGTAAAATACATTAGCCTATGTGCATTTTTAGTTTGTATATTTTTTAATGATACTAACAACAAATATTTTGTGATAATTTTAATATATAAATAAACGAAAATTCTCATTTTTTCATATAGAAAATAAATGTATATTCTGTAAAACACAAGACTGTATATAAAAGAAAAAACAGAAATTAATTTTCACATATTCAAATTTATATATGTATTTGAAGCACTTTCATATAAAAAGATATAATTAAATAAGCAATGTACTGTACTACATTTAATGAAAAAAATATGTTTTCTATATCGTTTGAAAATATTTTTCAAATATTATTCCTATATCTTTTTTACTATTTAATTTTATTATTTATTATCATATAATTTTACTATTTATAATATCATTCTTGTTTCTAAATTCATGTGAGTATGTATAAATTCAATTTTAATATTTCAATATTTAAAGTTCTACATAGGTTTTAAGGATGTATCTTTTTTCAAATATTCTGATTGAAGTACATGACATAATGCATTTCGAGGATAGTTATTATTCAATGCATGCAAACCCATTTCTATGAAAGCATTGTCTTTATACATATTTTTAGTTTGGATTGAACTATCACTATTTATTTTATTATTATATTGTGTTGAAGGATTATTATCTTCTTTTGGTGATAACATTTTTGTAGTTACTTCTTTTATTTTTGTACTTTCAATTTTTTGATCTAATGTTTGTATAGAATTTTCTTTCTTTATACTTTTCAATTTTTCTTGTGAGAAACTCTGTTGTGGGAAATCTTCAGAATTGTCAATATCGTATAAATCGAAAGAATTTATATTTAGCTTTTTTAACATATTTGCTATATCGTCAGTAGAAATGTCTAATTCTTTAATTTCCAATTCCTTTTTACTAACAGAATTCTTTTCTACGTCATTAATGTATTTATCCAAATATTGTTCAATATCAGAATTAATCTTTTTTAAATTTATTGAACTATTTGTGCCTGTATTTCGTTTATTCAACCGCAAATTGTTATTTAATTTTGTACCACTTTTGGTATTTTGAATTTGTATATTGGAAAAAAGAGATTTTTTTTCAATTTTTTTATTGCACACATCTTTTGATGAAATTACTTCTAATGAACTATTTTTTAGAGTATCATTCGGTATATTGTTTATTTTATCATCAACTATTTTTTTATTTTCTTTAGGAAAGAGCATGTGTTTGATTTTTCCCGCTTTTTCATCAAAAGATAATTCTGATTTTATTTCGCCTCGTTGCAAATATTGATTTGATTTCGGATTCAAATAGAGTTTTTGAATTTTATCTATTTCAAGTGTCATTCTTTCTAACGTATCATATAATTTTCTCGTTCGAACATTTTTATAATTTTTATTTTGAGTCCATCCGCCATCTGCACGTAATGTTCGCCAATCTGATTTTACTTTTTCAACTTCTCGATCGATATCGTTAATATGTTTGTCTGAAAAATCAATTTTTAAACATTTTTATAACGATATATAAATATGTTTCATATATATTTCATAAAATAGTTAATAAATATATATTTGATTTATCTAATACTTTTAATCTTATTTTTTATAAATCATTTTGAAATAATTGAAATACATGAAATGTATTAGTGAAAGATAAATGTTTAAAATTTTAAGTGTCATTAATTAATATTAAATATAATAAATATAATAATAATGAATATTTTAAATACTATGCAATCATGAATAAAGGATAAATATTAAATTTTAATTATATTTTATATTGAATTTTAAGGTAAATATAAAATAAATTATTTATCAAAAAGAATTTATGTAAAGATCTTACGTCTTGCACTACGATTTTTAATCAATCGTTCTTCAACATTTGTTTCTTGTTTTTTTATAGTAGGTAAATTAGCATTTTTTCCATAATTAGTTATATTTTCGTGTTTTCCCGAATTTCCTAGTATAGTATCGCTACGCGGATGTAATTTTGGTAACACTGCGTGTGTCTGAATATTATTGAAACTTTGCTTATCATTTATAAGTTTCATAGATAAATCTAAAAACACAATGTGAAGTCAAATATAAATTTTTAATCAAACTAAAGAGATATTCATATTTTATGTTCAAAGAAAATAGTATACCTCCTTGTGCGATATTAGATGGATTTCGTGCTCCTTTTGTTGTCGTTGCATTATTAGAAATTGATATGGAATTTCCAAATGGATTGAACTCGTATACGAAATTATGTGTTGCTGGAACCCTCTTCGGGATTCTTTTTGTTTTCTTTGAGACAGTTTCTACAGGCTATCAATATTTTCCAACGTATTAATAATTCCAAGTAAGTTATTTAAAGTACAATGACAGGTGCCAGTATTTATTCAGTATAAAAATATAATTGAAAATGAAAAATATTCTTGGGAACAATTATACTGAAATCAATATAACATATCTAACTTTATTTAACCTCCATCCAGATATCTTTTCTTCGGAAGCATCGGTTTTGGTTCGTATCTTTTCTTTTGGTTTGTAACGAAGACTCACATCCGATGAAACTTGTTTCTCATGAACATTCGGCGTAGAGTTCGGTGATTCTTTCTTGTTAATTTTGACAAAACGCGGCCTGTGAAATTCCATAAATCAGTCTTTTCGAAAAACCCATCACCGTTTCGTGCAACACTTCATTTTTGCAAAACTTCAATTTCCATTGTTCTCGTACTAACATCATAGACGTATTTTTCGCTTAATGCATTCGCTTTTGTTCGGCATTACAAAGAAAAGCTTGAATTAATCTTATCGTAATATTTTTCTTTCTTTATCTTTTTCTAATTTTTACATATTTCAGTTAAAATATCGAATCTTACTTGTTGTAAATGTTGACACGAGTGTATTCGTCGATGATTTTCTCGGGTTTCACGAAATGTCGAAAATTAAATATAACTTTATTTCCTTCCTTGGAGAAGATAGGTCCTGAACGAACGCGTTTTCTTTTGGTGGAACTCCAAATATATTTGCACCAATTTTTGTATTCACTGAAATATATAGAATGTTTTATAATTGATAATATAAAGTGATTCTATGTAAAAAAAATAAGTTGAAAATATTTTTTCATTTAAAATTAATTTTCAAAAAAAAAAAATTTGAAAATTATATCGTCAATTATAAAAATCTTTATATATTCAATTTTAATTTTATCAAAAACAAGAATTTAAGTGATTTTATTCTACATTTTGTGTTTATATATGAATAGGAATCATCTATTGATAGTTTATTCAACCTAATTAACTTTAATTATTAATATTTAATTTTAATTATAATTTATAAATTGAAAATTTTTCAAACTTATTTTATTTGAAAATGAAGTCTTAAATGAAAAAATTTTATTGTATATTTTCGATTTATTTTTTCAAGAATTACATTCTGTACAGTTACAAGATATTCTATATTTTTCTTATTTATTACTAATATTTATTATTAATATAAATTTCATTTTAATAATTATTTTTATTTTATTTATTTATTTTTTTTTAAATATTTTAATTTCTTATTAATATTAGAATTATTTGTCTATCTTTTTGTCAATTTAATTACATTTGTTCTTTTCTTCTAAAATTAATCAAATTGGTGCTCAAAATGTATTCAAAAGATTTATGTTTTGTATTTTATTTTTATTTAATTTGAGTTTTTTATACCTGGATTTATCAGTTTTATTTTGTGAAATTTCTTTGTGCTCGAATTTCGGTTCTATTTCTTTAACAAACACAGACAATCCATTGATACGTTTAACTTCGCGATTCTGATCCTTTGATTCAGGATACAATTGCAAAAAAGCTGGAGCACAGTGCAATCTGGAGCAACTTGGAAATCCCTCGAAAGCTTTCGCCAGTTCCAGAAATAGTTGTCGCACTCTTTCTATATTTTAAGACTTTAACTTTGTTTAATTCATAACCTAGTAAAAAAATATTGCATCAAAGATGGCATATATATAAAAAACAAAATAAAATTAGTTTTGTATCGATATTTTTTAGTGTTGCTAATTTCTGAATTATTCTATTAAATTTCTCAATATTCTCCAGATTTTCTAATGCGATGAAAAACTTATGTATATAAATATTTTTTTAATTAAAAATTAGAAGAAGATATATTAAATATTAATAAGTTAAAATAATGATAAAGAGAATAGATTTATTTTTCTTCAAAAACATTTCTTTTTCTAAAATAATATTAAAATATAAAATAAAGAATTATAATGTACATTTGTAATATATTTATTATATATATTGCAATGTATATAATTATATTAATATATTTGTTATTTACTATATATAATTGTAAACAATAATTTTTTTTAATGAATTTATAATTCTCCTTTCTCTTCACTTTCTTTTTCTTATTCTTTATGTTCAGCATTTCTCTGTAGCATTTTATATTTTTTAAAAATAATTTTAAAATTCTGAAATTTTGATTTTTAATAACATGCATAATTCATTTTATAATTTATTCTTTTTTTTTTTTAATCGTATATAGTTATAATATGATATTTACATCCGCTTCTTGCGATAATAAATACCTATACTTCCGGAGATTAAGAAAAAAGTACGTAGCTTTGATTTTCCTTTTATTACGTATTAATAATTAATTATCAGAATATATTTTATCTTACATATGTTTCATTGATTAAAATATGAATATACTTTTATTTAAAGAATATAATGCCTTTTTTTATCGTTATACTGTTGTATTATTGTTATTCTATTTTTTTTATTTTATATATATATTTTCTATCAATATAAATCAATACTTATCCAAAATTAAACGAAAATGAAGCTCACATACGCTCTGCAAATGTTACCAATTCGAAATTTGATTAATTAAAGAGAACATTTGAAAGTACATGTGATATTGACATTCCAAAATTTACATTAACCCTCATATCTCGAAATTATGTTCATTACAGTGCCAAATATTTTTTGATTTCTTTTCGTTTCAGCCGTTGATTCATCTTTTGCAATTTTGAAATATTACCGTCTCAATGAATCCCGTATGGATAACATCACAATGCCAAGTGAAAATAATCCCACATATAACGAAACGTTATCCTACGAAGCACACATGCTCCAAGAAATTCTGAGAATAAACGAATTGATGATGAAACAGGCTTACCAAAGCAATGAAGAATTTCGTGGTAATAATAAAGTTTCATACAAAAATTATGCCAGAAATTCGATGAATCGGAATAATATTTCTGCGAAAAAACTTAGCGACGAGGCACGTGAAATACATTTTCGAATGATTTCAAAAAGTGTTTCATCGCTGCAAGGAAAAAATGTTTCTTCGAACACTACTGTGTTCAAAGTGCATTCAAAAACTACATTGAAGAAGACAGAATCCAAAAATAATAAGTATCCTGAAGCCGACACTTCTTCGAAGAAAGATACATCTTCGAAACGTAATAGTAATAAACAATCTTTTAAAGTAAACATGAATATTGACGATAAATTAGATATTATTGATCCATTACTACAGGAAGAATGTGTCGCTTCTTCTCTTAAAAAAGAAAAAAATAAAATTTTTCCAAAGAGAATACGAAACATAGGAGATAGAATTGTTGATGATAATGCTGTTAATAATCCTGTTGAATTGGTAGAGATTTACAAAAAGGAAATAAACAGTGAGAATGATTTAAATCGAGAAACGAGTTCGATAAGAACTTTTTCGAAGGAAAATAACGAGCAATGTGAAGTTGAGGAGAATGAGTTTGCATCGTCGAAAATAAAATCAAATAAGCATAAAAAAGAAAGCTATAATGCTAAGAACATGGAAGAGATAGAGAAAATCGACAAAATTGAAGATTTTCAAATAAAATATATACAAGAAAATGGTCAAAATGATGAAAATATACAAAAAAAATACATACAAGAAGAAAATGGTCAAATTAATGAAGGTTTTCATCATCAAGAAAATTTCACATCAAAAAATAATCTTATTAATGAAGATTTACAAAAGAAATATACACAGGAAAATTATGAAAATAATGAAAATTTTGATATTTTTAAACGAAATATATCAGAGACTACTTTTTCTATTAAATCGACTCAAGATGAAGAAGATCAAATCATTAATATGGTACATACATTGAATCCTATGGAAAATGAAACAATGGAATGGAAGGAACAAAATGATTTAAATGAAGATTCGTTACTTACTTTGGAAGAAATTAATCCACGTGTAAATTTGGTTACGATTTTCGAAGTGAGTGAAAAAACGTGCACAAACGAGAAAATGGAGAAATCGGATGGAAAAAATGGTCTTAAAAAATCTGAAGCATCTGAAGATATGCAAAGATGTAGCACAAAAGGAACAGATGATTTATCTATCTGCGAAAATATGAAGATTTTGAAGTCACAAAAATTATGTACCAATACTATTGAAAACATACATTCTTTAGAACATAATAAATATATAAATAATATTATGATAGTAAATAAGGAAAAAAAAGATATATCAACAATTACAATAGAAGAAGAGGAACGCCAAAATAATAATTCAATTATATTGCCAAAAACGACGAAAAGCAACAATTCTTTCACTGAAAATTCTTCAAAATTATTGGATTCTGATTTTTCAAAATCCAATGAATTAGCAAATAATGAATTAATGAAAAAGGAAAAAGAAAATATTTCAATGATTGAAAAGGAAGAAATTCCTAAAGAAAACCATCAAAACAATAATTGGATTTTTTTTCTACAACCAAATAATAAAAATACGGAAAAATTATATATAAAAACTGGTAATCTTAATTCTATTGAAAAAATAAATTTTCCAAACGATTACAAGTATACTGATGATATTAACTCTGCAAAGATAGAAGAGAATTCTATGTTTAAGAAAGAAAATAATAAAATGAATCATGGTGAAGATAATTTAAATATTGATTCTTATAAATCGAATACGTTTAGTGAATCTTCTATTATCTTAAATGAAAACGAAATTTCAAAAATATCGATGCAACGTAATAATAGAATTGATAATATTAAGGATTCAAGCAGTAACTTGTCATCAGACAGAGAAACCATTAATAGAATAATAAACAAAAAATTAAAACTAAAAAGAAGAAATTCAAATACAGATTTATCGGGAAAAAACAAAATCAAAGTAGTGATTGAAAAACGGGAAAATAAAAAAAATGATAATGATAAGAATATAATTGATGACGATAAAACTTGTTTGTGCGATGAAAATGTACAACCATTAATTGACAAAAATAAAAAAGAAGATGAAAATTCTCAAGATTTTCATAAAGAAAGCACACGAATTAAAATTAATAATAACGAACAAGAAAAACCTAAAGAACAATTAAATCAAATTAGTAACGATAAAGTAAATATATGTCAAATGTTGATAAAGATTCACGAACGATTAACTTCTGATTGGCAACGATTAAAACGACTTCAAATGAAATTGCAAATTTCGGTTTCAATGATATCGATAAATCCGATGATGATGTTCCAATTATTGGATAAAACTATAACAAGGTATAAAATAAAGAAAAAACAATCAATTATTATTTTTTCATTAATATAAATTATTAAAGCATTAAAATAATTAATCTTTATAATTTTCTTAAATATTAAAAATAACTAATGTTGTATTACAATTTTTTTTATCATTTTATGTATTTTATTTTTAAAATAATATGATTTTTAAAAACAATTTAAAAAACATGAGGAAATTAACTCAGAAAACTTTTAATGGTAATTTTAATTTTTGGACAATTTTAAAAATTATAATATATAGGTGCAAGAGTTATATTCATGGTGCAAACGATAGTTATAAAGCTGAAACAGAAATCACTAATATTTTATTACATCATGTTATTGAATTGGTGAAAATTATGCAAATTAACAAAACGACTTTGGAAAATCAAGGTTTATATATTTGCTTTGATATTTTTTACTTTATTCTTTTTAAAATTTATACTTTTACTAAAAAGTAATTATTTACAAAAAAAAATGAAATATTTTTTATTGCAGAACAACGTATTGATCAAATGCAATTAGAATTGCTTCAAGGTCATCAAACTAATAAAAAAGTATGGTAAAATGTGATGATATTTTTATTAATATATACTTGATATTTTTCTCGTCAATAATTACTTGTAACGAATATAGAGAATTTTCTTGAATGAAATAATTTTAACTTCGAACTATTGGACGAATGAAATATTTTACCTAATCAAAAATATTTCATGTTTGGTGAAACAAGTAATGGCTGAAAACGAGGAAAAAGAAAACTTGAGAAATTTAGGAAGACATAAACGTCATATAAACAATATTTCTAATGATACCAAGTAATTTTATAATATATTTTTAACAATATTATAATTTAAAATTGATAAAATTTTTTTTATTTTTTAAATTTTGAATTTTATATAATTTTATTTTTTCTTATGCTCATATTTTTTATTAAATCGATCTTGAAATATTATTATTTAATAAATATACATATAATATATACATTTCAGATACAAAGTTGGAATGACTCGATTAAAAAATACGAAATTAGAGCTTGTAAAAAAAGAAAGTAATATCGAGACCCAAATGTCAATGGTTACAAATCCTATCAATCCTTTGAAACAATCCAAATCTAAGACCTTCACAAAATCATTATATTCACGAGGTTTAGATAAAGAAAAACATTTAGATGATACGCAATCAATTATTGATAAAAAAATAACCGATAATCGTCATTTAGAACGAAAACCACCAAAAAAGATGTTCAATTCAAGTTCTAATCAGTACAAACAATCGATTTCCCGCCAAAAACACCGTAATAATCAGCAACCTGTTTGGAAACCAGGTGGTGCAGTAAAATTTCCTAATACTTCCAACAGTGCGACGATGTTAAAATTTCGTCCAATGTTACATATCAAAGAAAAAACGAATTCGGACAGTGCAAAGTATACAATAAATTTGTTATTATGAAAATTTAGATATAATAAGAATATTATAAAAAATATAAGTATAGTCCATAAAAATAAGTTTGAAATTTAATTTTATAAAATTTAAATACTATTGAAGGAAATATAAATTATTATCAACTATTGGTAAAGAAATTAACCATTAAAATTTTTAAGTAAAATAAAAAAAGAAATTTAATTAATTAAAATAAGAATAGAATTTTAAATCAATTAAACTGATTAAATAAAATTGTAAAAATTCCACTTATTTTATAATTTCTTTTAACATTTTTTTAATCTTTTATTGTCTATTTTTTTTTATATTTTATTGTCTATTTATTATATTTTAATTCATTATTTTAATAGATATAAAAAAACTAATTAGACTATTGGCAAGTAAACAACAAGAAAATAGATCACATGAAAAAAATCTTAAAAATGATATTCTTCTAATTAAAGAATTATATTTTGAATTAAACTTCAAACTTTAAAGTTTCGTAAAAATGTTAAACAAAAATGAAATATTATATAATATTGTATAATATTATACATTATATAATTATATTTATAATTTTTAATAAGAGCGTATAATATTATAACAAAATTGTTTGATATTAACAAAAATTGTTCATTTAGAGAAGAAAAGCAGCAGAAACGTGGAACGAATGATTGTAAGAAGAAGCCCTCCAAAATACATTCAACGAAAGATATCGTATCCAACATGGATAATTTTAAAATGATAAAAGGGAGAAGTACCACTAGCTTGAAAATCAGTCCCAGAACGAAAACAAGAGGAAAAATATCAAGACCTCTATCAAAAACTTATGAATCTCTCGAAGGAAATAAGTCTTTATGTGACATGATAAATCAAAAGATCATGAAAGATTCAAAAGTTCTTAAAGTTTTGGAAGAGATTATTAAAGATGCGAAAAAGAAAGAAAATAAAAATTCCGATAATGAAACGAATACCGTTCCTTTCAAACAATCATGTGAATTGATTGCAGTCAAAGAGGAAATGAAAATTAATGAAGAAGAACCTACGAGGGATATCGATTCTGAAATATATAAAAAAAATAAATTAAACGTTAATGAAGGATTTCAAGAAAATCTTAAAATGCCAGAAAGTATACCAGAAAATTATTCGGTACCAATGATATCGAAAAATTTTATTCCAGTTGCAAATACCAATGTTGAAGATGTCGTAGAAAATGTTGAACTAAATGGAAATTTTCAACCAAAAATTAAATCGAATTTTGCCTCTGAAAACAATGCAAATTGTGTTGTAAATTTTACTTCATCTTCAGTTGATACTGATAAATTAGAAGTTTCGAAATTATATGAAACATGCCCAACTTCTAATCTTTCATCAGTTGTTTCGCATGACAAAATAAAGGAAAATGAAAATTTTAAGGAAAATAATGTTTCTCAAATTTGTATTCTCGATTGTAACGAAAAACAAGAAAAATGTGATACTTCAGATTCGAATATTCTTATTAATAAACCGAGTTATATTAAAGAGAAAGCAAATATAAAAGAGAAAACAAAAGTGGGTTCTCATACAATGTCATTGGTTATGTTAAAAGAATTTCTTTGTAATCAGGGTATCGATGTTAATCTGGTGAATAAAGCCGAAAAATATCTAAAAAACAAGCAAAGAATGTGTAAAGGTTTGAAAAAGAAATCTATCAGCTTTGCAGATGTACCTTCAAGCATTGAATATAATTGTCATTTTAAAACAGGTTTGAAAAAAGAAAATAATTCACAGGAGATGTTAGAAAACGATATTAAAAAGATTAACGACAATATTGTTGAAGATGAAAAAGTTTTAAATGAGATTTCTTTCCTACCTTCGTTAGAAATAAAAGATAACGAATATAATTGCTATTTTAAAGCAAGTTTGAAAAAAGAAAACAATTCAGAGATGTTAGAAAAAAATATCGAAAAGGTTGACGACAATATTGTTCAGAATAAAAAAGTTTTAAATGAGATTTCTTTGTTATCTTCGATAGAAACAAAAGATATCGAACATAATTGCCATTTTAAAGCAAATTTGAAAAAAGAAAACAATTTAGAGAAGAAATTAGCAAAAGATATCGAAAAGATGGATGACAATATTATGGAGAATAAAAAAATTTTAAATGAACTTTCTTTGCTATCTTTGTTAAAAACAATGAAAGATGTTGCAACAGATACACTTAAGGTTAACAACAATGCTTATTCTCAGACTAGTGTTTTTTGTAAAACATCTAAAAGTTTACAGACTATTCTTGAAAATAACTTAGCGATGATGAAATTACAAGCAATGGAAACGCAAACGGAACGGGAACAAAAAAATGCGTTTTCAATGATGGATTTATTTCCGGTTATTGATAATTCAACAGAGACGGAAGAATTTTCTTATATTGTCAAATCTGTAAATTCTAAAAATGAAAACGATTTTAACGAAGAAGATTTAAAAATAGAACTTCATGAAAATAATAATGATCTTTCGAAGAATGATTATAAAGAAAACTTTAGAAATATTTCTACAAAGCTAATTGAAGAGTTAAAATCAACCAATATAGAATCTACTGAGAATATAAAAGTGATTAAAAGTGATAAAAATTCATCTAAAGAGTGTTCTCAAATGTTTCAACAATTATTGGATCAGATACACGAAGAGTGTGATGAATCTTTATCAGATTATAAGAAAGATGAATTATTTTTCAACGAATCAGAAGAATCATCAACATCCGGTGGATCTTCTAAAAATTGTATTTTTGATAATAGTAAGATTAAAAAAGAAAAAGAAGATGAAGATCAATCTGTTGTTAAAGTTATTTCAAGTGGAATAGTGGTAGCTTTTCAAGTTGCCGCCATTAGAGCACGAAATATATACCGGTCTATACGTATCTACAAACGGAAGTTAAGAGAGAATGCGAGAAAATTGAAAAAAGAATCAAAACATAGGAAAAAAATTAATGAAATTTACAAATCGAGTGAAAGTGGATCGAAGAGCATATTAAAAAGTAACAGTGTGGCAAACATCATTATGCAAAAGAAAAACGATAAGAGAAATGGCATCATCGAATTATTTAAGAATCTCAAGCAAACGGAAATTACGTCACCATTAAGCGAAACATCTTTTGATAGTCACAGTGAATCCGAGAATAATAGTTTTAGATCTGTGAAAATATCGTCATCAGATATTTTTTCCAATGAAATGAATTTTGAAAACATCGAGTTGAGAAATTCGGAAGAATCGACCAACAATCTTGTGACTAAAAACACGAGTTTTAAATCTGTTAAAATGTCATCATTAAATATTTTTTCCGACGAAAATTTTAAAAACGATTTAGAAAATCCGAAAAAATCATTCAACAGTATTGCGTTGAAAGATATAAGATCTTTAATGGAGTTTTTAGTGAATAAAACCGGTGATATAGAATTCGAGAGAATTGAATGTGTTCAGAAAATTTCGAATAATAGTATGTGCAAAACAAAATCGCATGAAGATATAAGAACAGAATCTTTGAAAAGAAAAAAAGAATTCAGGATGTTTTCGAGTGAGAATTTATTAGTTTTGATTTATAGTATGCTATGTATTTTTGTTTTCTGGTGTTTAAACTTTACGATCACTTGTGACATTTTCTTGTGATTTGTGTAATGTCTTTGTGTATTTTATTATTTTACGTTTATATTGTTTCCTTCATATTATCATATTTGTTGTATATTGTTAATGTTCTTTTTATTTTGTATTTGTTTTTGAATGCATGTCATTCCTTCTTTATTCTGTTATTTTATGAATTTTGTGATAGATTTGTATTTTGTATATTTAGTTTATTGTTGAAGTCTAAAGATTTAACCAAAATGATTTTGTTAATTAAAAAATTAAATTAAAAATATTTAACCAATATTATATGATGTTTATTTAAATAAGATATCTAAATATAATTACACAAATTGGAATATACATAAACATTTAATAGATTTAATAGATATTATTTTTATTGATATGTATCATAAGACATGCAAAATGATATATTATAAATCATTTTTTAAATGCACAATATATATCACGTGTATAAAATAACAAATTACAAAACTTAATCTCATCTCACGATTAAAAACACAAATATTTACATTAATTTCCTTCGTAATCTTGTTCTTTAAAAAAAATATTATAATATTTAAACATTAAAGAACAAACTTACTGAAAAAATTAATGTACATGACGAATATTGTATATATTTAGTTCCATGCTATTTTCTTTCATTACATAATCTCTTTCCTCATATAGGATCTCAACGTTTTAATCACGTAATCCATTCTAGAATGTATCTTCGATATCTTCAAATATTTTTACAGCCATCAACTTATATTTATCGATCTCAAAAAAAGGACTATGCATTTCTATAATCATAATAATATTTAATGGAACGCGTGATACTTAAAGATATCAATTTATAAGATATTTATTAATCGAAGATGAAAATGAAATTGATATCATTCAAATTTGAAGAATTTTATTCATCCATATCAAGAACATCAATGACAGCGGATCCTGTAACATCTACTAGCTCTTTCGAAGTGAAAGTGGCAATGATCTTTTGCGATCCAGCCTTTTGAGGAATCAATTGATGTTCTACATAGACGTCTTCTTCGGGATCAACATCTCTGAATGCTAGTGTTTTGTTTCTTGTTAATCCTGGACCAGCATAATTGAATTTACAATCTGTTAATACCCTTTGCAAAGGATTTTTGAATCTAAGACTGATAATTGATGGTTTTCCTACTGTAGGTTCTCCATCGATCTGGAAAATATTGATCGATTAGAAATTAGAAATGAAAATTTATAAGATATATTATATATCTATATTAATTATGAGTAAAATAAATTTTAAAAAATATAAAAGAAGAACTCGATTAATTAGATTGTGATTATCAGTGATCTTGATTAATTAAGAATCTCGATAAATTAGAATTTTAATTATTCAAATTGTTTTTTTCAGAAACGAAAAAAAAGAAGCCATAATTTATATATAATTGTGTGATAAATCATTACAATGGTAAAAAGAAGAAAATAAGAAATATTTGAAAATGTTTGACAAGTACGTTATTTTTATATGACTAATTATATTTTACGGATGGTTTACCTTGACTATAATATTTGGTTTCAAGACTTGAAAATCATCTTCATCAGCCCATGTTTGTTTGGTTTCGACCACTGTGGCAATGGAATATAATTTCATATTACAATATTCCACTAGTTTGTCTAAATAATCATCAACCGTGATCGTGAGTCTTAACTGTTCGCCTAAGAAGAAATTAGACGTGATTAAAATCACATATGGATCATATGTGGAAAGTTACATGCAAATGTATAATATTGATTTAGAAATATAAATTATAACTGTTTTGAATCGAATATTTGAATCGAAATCACATAAAGAGTATAAATTCAAATAAAATGCATAACAATATCTTCGAATTATATATATATTAGTATATAATATATAATATTTGAAATATAAATTATTATTAGACATTTGATTCTAATGGAATATTGTCAGAAATAATTTAATGATTCACTAAATGCAGGAATAATATATATTTGGGTAAGACCTATCCAAAATATTTTTGATTTATTATGTAAATCTATAAATTTGCTAACGATCATCTAATTATTAATAAAACGAAGAGGCAATTAATCTTTAAATACAAGTTCAATCTTAAAATACAAGTCTTATTTAAATCATAATATTTTCTGTTAATATATAAATCTGAGCATACATATATGTTTAAATTTTTTTTTCAAACAAAAATTCCATTTTGCTTTGAAATATTAACTTTGATTTAAAAAGATTTAAAAAGAAAAGACAATTTTTTGCGTATGCAATATACAGAATGACTTTAAATTTCGTAAAAATAAAAAATTGTTAAACTCACTGGCATATGGTTCAAGAACGAAATCACCGGACGCTCTCTTTACCAGATGTGCCTTGATTCCCTTATAATATACGCTACCAGCGGATAAAATAGCTTGAATAGTACGTTTCTCGTTCGATTTATTCTTTATATTCACTATTACTGCAAATGGTTGGCCGATATTCACTCGCTCAATATCCACAAGATCAAATTCAACATCTTCCTTAGCTGGTGAGGGCAAGGAATAAAATCTTTTGGCCAGTTCCGTACTGCGTACGGCTCTGTACAACGTTAATCGCTCCAATTCCGTTCCTAAACAACAAATATTAAATTAATATTAATAGCGAGAAACAATGAAAGATTCGAAGATATAATCGAACAAAGAAAAAGCTTTGTAAAGAAAAGATACTTAACGTTTCTAATTTTAATTAAATTGTTAACAACATTGATAATACTAAAACAAACAATACTTAAATCAATCTTGAAATTTTATTAAATCTAAAATTCAATAAGTTTAATTAGAAGAGTTAAAATAGTTCAGTGAGCTTGTAAGTTTAAATAGAAATAATAATCTTGAAAATTGATAATAATTAATTTTTAAATCAAGATCATTTAAAAGTATATGTAAGTATGTATATTTATTCCTATTACTTATTGCCTTTTATCACATTTCATATTATTTATTATTGATTATATTTTCAACTTATTCAATATATTTTTTTTACAAAGGAAACTATTATTATATTATATTTACTATGAATAGAAAACAGATCAAAAATAAATAAATAAAATAAAAAAATTGAATCTAGAAAAAAATCTAATAAAAAATAAATTTAAAAATAAAAAGAAATGTTTGTAATATATTTTGTACATAATTTATAGTATTTAAATATTGATGTACATTTAATATTTGTCTTTATACGATTTATATTTACCTTCTGTTGCTTTATATAAAGATGTTATATCTTCTCTATCTCTGTCTCCATTGGGATCATAGACCCAAGGAGCTTTTGTCAAAATCATTCGACCAATGCTATAAAATAAAAAAAAAATCATTTAAATTTTTTTCAATTTAAAATCAAATTTTAAATTGAGAGATATTGAGAATGTGAATCCAGGTGTCAATTCAATTTTGCATACTTTGTGTTCTCTTACATAAATCGATCTCTTTTAATTGATCTCTCTTGATCATATTTTCACTAATTTACTAATTTATCATTAATTTCATTTTTTATTTTCAAAACATTTCAAATATTCTTCTTTCATTATTTTATACCTCTTTCAATTTTATATGTTAAAATTATTTAAAAAAACTTACTGATACTTATTACAGTCGATCTTCCTGAATCCCATTTCGCTGTCAGGATCCTCTATCCACCTCATAAGATCAGCATTTACGGAAGCCAGCATAAATGTCACATCGTAATTATATCCGACAACTCCTTGTTTAATTGCTTCGACTGAAGCTGGTCCACACTGGTAAACACCCTCCGAAGGTTCTTGGGGCGTTGAATCGATCGCTTGCCATCCACCATATCCTTTAGGCAAATCAGGCCTAGCCATCCAGACATCGTTCCAAACGTGATAATTCCAAATGGAGTCTTCGCCTTCAAGATTGTTCGGATCGTATTCGAGTTCCTCGTTGTCCTTGCTGTAATAACGATCGACAGAGAGCGAGGCGTTCGCATCGTGAGCCGATACCAAGTTTGAAACCACTCTCGATGGTATCCCTAGAGCACGACAGACGGTGGTCACGACACCGGCAAATACCCAACATTGACCGTATTTGACGGATTCTCCTGTTTCTAAGAACTGCTCGAGAATTGGTACACTTCCGGTCCAAGCAGCCGGCGCAGTACCATCTTGATAATCGCCATCCCATCGACCAGTCACTACTCCTTTGTCATCGTTGGAGTTTACCTGTGGATGTTAGATTTTGTATTAGATTAGAGGAAATGAAAAGTAAATTCAAGAAATAATTCGAATCTCGAGAAAGATTTAAAATTTTCGTGAATAATCTCAAATAATAGAAAATAATGACTGAATATAAAAAATAATGGATAAAATAATTTATAATTTGTTTACAAATTTATTAAAAATTATTCGATTTTTTTTTATTATTTCGATTATTTTCATTTTTTTTTTTTTTTTTAGGAATGATTCAATAACAATCAAACTTACGATTCTCGAAATAACTCTACACATTTGAATCGGATCTCCTCTGGAATTAGCTTTGATGCCAGATCTTTCTAATAGTAATTGACAAGCTTTAAGCACATATGCATCGAATTGACCGAATATCCATTCTCTACCGCGTGCACTTCCCCACGCTCCGACCCAAATTTTTCCAACATCATTCAGAATATATTCATCCAGAAGTTGTTCATCCTCCATGTAAACTAAATCCTCTAAAAATAAGAACATATAACATTGCAACAAATAAATATATAAATACATAATTATCATATGTAGAAGATATAACTGATATTTCTATCAGAAAAGTTTAAATTTGTTAAAGATAAAAATTAAAATAAATAGAAATTTTATTACACTGCGTTCATAAAAAGGTAAAATTCCATTTCAATGAAATGGTATAACTTTGATAGTAAATTATTCATAAACTTCATATCATTTTAAATATAAATAGATATTTTTTTCTTCATCTTTTTATGTTTTAGATATATTAATATATTTGTTTTCAATATAATTGTTTTATAAAAATGCTAAAATTCGATGATTCTTCCAGTCAAACACATATGAAAAAAATTGCATAAAATTTATTCTCGCTAAATATTACATTGAAGCACATTGCGATGCAAACATTGATTCAAGTGACAGAGGTTTAAAAGTTCAATGTTTTTTCACATAATGCTGCAATAATATTTTAATATCGCATAAAAGCATTAATTAAAACTCATCATTTGAATCAATGCTTACATGACAACATTTCAATTGTAATAATATTCCATAAACTGTTTAAAATACAATATCTACCTTTCAACCAGGGATTAAATAACAAATAAATATCCTTGTCATAATTATAGGTATTTGGAGATTTCTTGCTCCCCACGATAGTGGTCTCTATGTTTAACTGCCACATGCCAACAGGACTGTCTACAGGACTTCTTACTTCCGCTGATAAATCCACGCCACTAACACCCATCAAACGCACACCCCATGCCTCTAAATCTGTCAGATAACTATCTCTATTGGTGATAATGTTCACTCCTCTAGTTCCTCTAAGAACATTCGGATTTGGTCCAAAACTGAACAGTAATCTAACGATGTCTATTTCATCTATATATTCTCGATTGAATCTCAAGGCAATGTGGAAAGATTGTCCTCGTCTGAGGACAGCAGCTGGAGGATCGAGATGTACTAATTCGTAATTGATGGTATGATGTAATTTTGCATTTTCTTTTTCGTAAAGATACACCATCTCAACGACCAATGGCTCTCCCATTTTGTTGATTTTGGTGTCTGTGAAAGAAATTGTTGAAGTATGTAAATAGATAATATTGATAATAGAATTTGTTTTTTTATTTATGATATATTAGAAATAAATATTGTATGATAATTCTTATAATTTTGAATATTCTTATTTTAAATAATTTTAAAAATGAATCTAGATATAAAATTTAAAGCACTATATGTGTAAATATTAATTTACTACATAAAAATTCCCAAATGGATTACATCATTAATTTGCATATATTAATATTTTGTTGAATTTCTTTGCCAATAATTAATTTCAATAGTTTTAAAACAGTGAATTTTTATTTTATTTTAATATTTCCTTTTTTTTAGATTATTTGAATTTTAAATTCTTGCGTACAGTCAACAATTTACAAATAAAATGATTCATTTCATTTTAAGAAAACATATATAATTGATAAAAACAGTTATTCATTGTTGCGGATAATCGTATATTAATACAGTCACTAGAAATAGCTATGTTCTCATTCATACATATAGTATGAAAGACAAATATCACTTTCATTTATGTGACAAAGTGCAATTTTATTAAAATTGTATATAGTAAATATAGGAATCATTCTTTACGATAAATTTTTTTGAAATTTAATAACTGAAACATGATAAGAAAACAACAATGGTAATTGGTTTTATAAACCCACAAGAAAAAATATTCATTGATATACTAACGCCACTTTTGATTTAAAAAAAATGACACATGCCATAAATGTTTCATTCCGCAAGAATTTCATTTACAAATATATACAATTTTATATTAATATTTCTTTTTTTATTTACAAATGAAATCGATTTTATTTTCACAAGAAAGATCAATAAAACATGATTTAATAAATATATATAAATCGAATGAAGGAAAAATATTAAAATTAAAATTTTATTTTAATTTTATTAAATATTTCGATATTCATTGATTATTGATTTTATTCGAAATTTAAACATAATTTTATTCAGATCAAAATAAAGTCTGACAGACTTTAACTAAAGACTAACTGCAGTTTTCCAAGAACAAAACGATGTCGAAACTTTAAACATGATGAACAGTTCTCTTAAATACCAGACACATTTTGAATTGCAAGGCAGCGAGATTTACCTTTGATTCATCCAATTGTAAATATCCGGAATCAATCCCAGAACGTGAGTTGCCTTGTAAATGGATGTTTTATTCCTGAATAAAATCAGTACTAAACTCTCGAAAATGATTCACCGATCTTTTTAATAAAATTTCTTGTCTCAAATATTATTAAAAAATAAATGTGATAAACTTCATTATATATAAACTTTACAATATCTCGTAGATATAAAATTATCTTTATATAAGTAATATTTTTAGATAATTAGAATAAATTTAAAATTCATATCATTTTAATATTACTTATTTTTTAAAAATAATTATGAAAATTTAAAATCTAAAGATATAAAAAAGATGTAAAAAAAACTTTTTTTTTTCTTTTTTTTTTTATTTATTAAAAATTTAATTTTTGATTTTATTTTTATTTTTTTATATATTTGTTTTTTAATATAATTATTTTATTTCTCAATTTTCATTATTTAATATTTTTATCACTTAATATATATTAATTTTTTAACAATATTTAAATAATACCATACTTAAAAAACAATTTTTTTTTTAATAATATATGTATATGTTCTTAAGTGTATTAAGAACATATTAAAATAAAATGAACAAAACAAAGATAAAATAAACAAAAATTATAAAAATCAATATAATAATTTTATAAAGAAATTACAAAAATTATAAAGTAAAGAATAATTATTGATATAGAATAGGAAAAAATGTAATTTATGTATGTCAAACTTACAAATTCGATCAAAAAATTAAAGTCGTTATTTTTATATCAGAAGCGACAGATTTTAAATCACGATTAACAATCTTGCACGATACTGAGACTCACAGTGTGTTGCTGTCTTTTTATACAAGGCAGCTTCCTTCAAACCAACTGCAATCCCCACTACACACGTGCAAATAGCACGTGCATCAGCTTTCAATTTTTGGCATGCGTTATCGATTTACAATTCTCTTATAGTAAAGTTTATCATAAATTAATCATTATATAATATATTAATTAATTAATAAATTATCATAAAATTATCATTGAAATATATTTCTTAAATATACTAAACTAAAAATAGATACTATAACATTATAATTCTATATTATGTTATAATATATAATTCTAGTTTCATCATTATCTAAATAAAAAAATAATTTCATAAAAGTTATAGTTACATATTTTATATATAAATTCTTATATTTTCAAAATGTATAATTATGTTATATAATTCCTCTTCATATAATGAGTTATTAAGATACTATTTGTATGATTTGATATAAAATTTATTGATAGACTTTCACACAATAAGTATTCACATAATTTTCATATAAAAATAAGAAAAAAAATAAAATATCCGCTGTAAATCTTTACTTTATAAATATCTATACAGAGGAAATAGTAAGGAAATATTATCTTATCGTTTTTGGCCTATATCATTAATTAGCTTGCTGGATTTGTTACGCTAATATAAGCGTAAGTGGATGTTGCGGTTTTCTGCATAATTGATATCATTAAATCGAGATTAAGGGAATGAAAAAACGAAAAAAAATGAGTTTCTCAATTTGCCATAAATTTATTTGCGCTCCGTTTTATCGGATTACACAAATTACGTTGTAAATTATTGGTCTGTCTATGATTTTTCAATTTTACTATCTTTCGTTTGTTTTCTTTCCTTTCATTTTTAATTTTTATTCTTTCTTTTTTCCTTACATTTATCGTACGCTAAATTTTTTTTCACCAGGAACCAACTTATGGTTTTAAATGCATTTTAAAGATGTTTATTTTAAGTGTAACAAATTTTTCTTTCTTTTCATTTATACAGAGGATACAATTCGATAACAAAACTGTACGTTTTCAAAATCTGATTAACATGATTAAGTAGAACACTGTAGTTATCTAAATATATTCGATGAATGTACTCGTTTATTTTTTAATCCAAGATATGAAATAAAATATTGATTTGTACATAGGTAATAAAAAAATAAATATATTAGACTTAATTAAAATTTAAAATTTTTTCATAAAACATTGCTATTCTTTTAATGAATGATAGTGAATTTTTATTAATGAATATATAATAAATTGTATAGTTAGGTATATTTATATTTACAAATAAAACAGAAATAATAATAAAATAAATTCAGACAAATTTCAATAATAACAAAATTTCCATATAAGATTCATATAAGATAAACTAACAAAAGTAAAAAAAAAGAAATTTCAAAAAAATATTTTATCTCATTTATTATTCCAAATAATTGTTTTATTTATTAGTTTAAAATGTACAAAAAAAAATAAAATGAAACAATTAATATATTAATTGATATATCATGATAAAATTGATATTATATTATATACAAATCATTAAATACTCAATATAGATTCTAAAAATTCGATGAAATTTAATGATATCAGATTCCAAAAAGTACAGTTATTCAAAAGTACAGCAAATTTTATCGAAATTGTCACGACAGTACGCACGCGTTCAACAAGTACAAATCAAGAGCTGCTATATATGGATACATATTCTAGGAATAATGGATTGTACGTTGAGCATCCGTCTAAAAATATCTAGAAACATTACAATTAAGGCGAACGATATTTGTACGAGTACGGAAAGGGAAAATTATCCCTTTACGGACTCGTTTTCTTTTAAAATTTTGCGAAACTTAGATCCGAACTTAGATCAACTGGATAATTATCGCCAATTAATCATTATGAAAGATATTTTCTCCATTTATAATATTTCTGTAAATCATTTTCATGATTTTAAAAATATTAGAACAATAGACATAATTTTTTATTACAATCATTTCAAAATTTGGCACAAATTTCAATAATTTAAATAATTTTGTTTTTTTTTCCTTTTTATATGGCGAATATGTTGTCCAGTTTTCACTATTTTGTAGCATTGTTCAATTTTGAACACATTCAATCTATTTGAAAAAGACGAAACAAGATTCGATGTAAATTGTCTAATGAACAAGTTCCAATATTTTGCTTTCATATACATGTATGCTCTTGTATTTCTTTTCATTTTAAAATGCAACCGATTTTCTTCTATTATGGCACACGCCAGGCACAAGTATATCTCCATTTGAATAATTCACGCGCTAAAAGGCATATATGTATAGCTCGAAATTATAAATTCGAGCAAATTAAATCACAACATAAAAATAAAATTTACAAAAGGATTCAAAATATAACTTTATAATTAAAAACTCATAAAATTTATGAAATAAATTATAGTCTACTAAATAGCCACCAGATAAATATATCCCCCATATTATTTATATCTTTTCGATTTTTTTTTCTTTTTTTTTTTTTTAAATTTTGAGTACACATCGCGTGTTATGACAATAAAAAAGTGTATAATAGTAAAGGTGTTGTATTAAAATTATTAAAAATTAACATCGTTTATCATAAATACAGAATTATTTAATTGCAATAAATGATAATCATATTGAAAAATAATGGTTCAAGTGAATTTCACTTCGACATACGTACATTTTTTTTTTTTTTGTTTTTATAAATATTAGCTAAATAATGTAACAGCACTTCTCTTTAGATTTCACGCGATTTCGCGTAATGACGACCGCGTTTATGCCATTTTTGGTCCGATCGTAATAAACCAGTCTCTTATTTATATATTTATTAATTCTTTTTTTTTTTTTTTTTTTTTCAATGGGACAAACACAAAGATTCTGCTAAACGCGGTCGTGTTTTAACAAAATGCAATCCTTGATCCTACTATCACAGTCAAGTCTCCCGTTTCTCGTATCTCATATTTTCAACTATAACGCTTTATCCGTACGTTTCGTCGTATTTCACACATACATAGAAGAACATATGTGCAATAGTATCGAAATATGTTCACAAGTGAATAGAATATTTCGCGAGCACTTTCGCATATTGAGAATAATCGTTTTGAAAGAGTTGAGTAGAAAAACAAAAATAAAAAAAGATAGAGAAACAAAGAAAACTTTCGTTATTTTGAATGAACGATCAGAAAAATTTTTTTTCGTAGGAACATCAGTATGCGCGAGAAATGCAATGATTTTTTTTCTTCATTTTAATTTGTTTTTATCTAAAAGGCGCAGTATTCGATGTTCGACGACGAAATAGCATGTATTCCAAACTATATCGGAATATTGCACAAGCTCGTCTATTAAGAAATTTTTTCTTTTCAGTGTCTTTATGATACTGACATAGAATCTTTATTTTCGGTATGACACAAATGTGTAATCTTATTAATTCTATAATATAATTCTCATTTTCAGCTGTATCGATTAAAAAGATAGTGCCCCAACTACCCTCAAATATATAATAATTAACAAGTAAGTAATCGCGAAATATGCATTATTTTATGTGTATATATATATATAGCTTTTTCATAATATTTATATATATATATATATATTTCACTTTATTCATTATATTCTTGTTGTATGTGGGGCATATACAATATGTGACTAGTTCAAAAACGAAAATCCCTTCGCTCGCCTTGCGCAAAAAAAATTTTCTTTTTCTTTGTGTTATGATCAATTCACATTATATCTTTTTATAATACATCACATATAAACTGTCTTACATTCGTGCATCGAATATACGGCGTTTTTTCTATTTTTTTAACGTTTATTTTGTTTATTTTTTGAAGCATCTTAATTAAATTCTGCAAGCATGTTTGAAAATTTAAAATCGAGTTACGCATACTTTTCAATCTATATATGAAGGATTGTTACAATTTTTCTTTTTTGAAACTTGTATATGTTACTTTCTTCTCTTTTTTTTTCTGTTTTGTCGTTTTACTTTAAATATTCTATAATTTCCAGAATCTGTTCAGGTAACTCTAGATATTCTAACAATAATATTTGCCTATTGAGGATTCTAGAAACAACATTGTCGATTAGTTGTTCAATTCGGAATCGTTTTCACACGCCGAAAGTAATCGACGCAGATCACAAAGGTAATTTCGCATTAATGCGAGACGCTTCATACGCTAGCGAAGCGATGGGGATTCGTATTATTTGGTTGCATTAAATTATTTAGCGTCGGGGGCTAACTTGGAGCATCTTCCGGTTCCACAACGGCACCAGATACACTTGGATCTGTTTCACTTTGGCTCATTGATACAAACTGTTGTGACAACGTTTGTAGACTCTGTCGTACCTAAAATAATGAAGATATTTTTATAATCTAATTCTTTTTTATCATATAGAATACAATCAAATAATATTTACAAAAAGACACGAAGATATTGCTTATGAAGAAATAAAAAAAAAAAAAATTGAAGATTAGTTTTTAAAAAAATAAAGATGGAAAATTTATTCAATTAATACTAAGATATGGTTCTTTAAGTAATATATGTTTTAGTGAAATAATTCTAAGCAAAATCTAATTTAAATCTTTTAAGAAAAGAAAATTGTTTAAATAAAATATAATAATGAAAATATCATTAAAAAATTGTACATAGAACATCCAAAAAAAGTTAAGTAGATAAAATTTTCAAATCTAGAAAATAATATATATTAAGAATGCAATATTTATATAAAATGTTTATTTACTATAATAAAAAATATCGTACCTTTACTATTTGATCAAGATTTGTATTAAGATAATGCAAAAGTCGATCCTGAGTGAAACGTTCTGGCGAAACAAGAGGATGGTTCAGATATGCCGTGTGTAACCTATCGATACGAATCATCATCAGAGCCGCCGACACATAGAGAGCTGCCAAAAGAGCTATCAGGATAGTGATCACTGTGCTAGTTTTCAATCCACTCTTGAATAAAGATAAGATACCAGTGGATTTGGACGTAGTAGGTAATAATGGCACCGTTGGTGATGGTTCCACTCTAAACAAATTTAAATTATTGAAATTATTAATTATATTTTAATTAAATATCATAAAGATAATGATAATTATTTAATAATTTTTTCAATGTATATGATATTAATAGTTTAACGTTTTAATTAGAATTTTTTGTAAAATAGAATTTTTTTAATGAAGTTTGTATATATTTTGTAAATATTATTTTTAAAATGATAATACAAATTTTAAAACTTCAAATCTTTAAATCATTTTATACCTATTTGAATGATTTTAGTACAATTATACAATTTTTTTCTCATGATGCTTTGTTAAATAAAGTATTGTAAGTATTAATATTAAATCTAAAAGCTTCTTTAAATGAACTATATATGACTACTAATGATTATATAAAATGAATATATAAAAAAATTGTTTAATTTTCATCAATAAATCAATAATAAAAGAATTCTGTGTTTATAAACAATATACATATCTTGAATATTTTTTTTTAAGACGCTAGATGACTCGCTTAGTGTTGCGTTATACACAGTTTGATTGTGAAGAGATTGAATTATATCTTTAAAAAAAAAAGAAGTTTCTATAAAATAATTATTTACTTTGAAGGTGGTGGCAAACTCGGCCTGGCAATTGCCAATGGAACACCATCGGTATCGGTACAAATAGTCGGCGGTCTGGAATTCAGATCCGTTCCGCTTTCGGACATACTGGAATCATCCTCTTCGGGATTCACTTCAGAATCGTCGACTAACGGAACAAGAAGCTTTTCTTCGTTTGCCAATGGTAGGATAGTTGGTGATGGTTGTGGTTCCGTAGCTGCATCCCAAACCTGTTTCATCAGCTTAAAAGTCGAGTCTCTGGACAGAAGGGAGCAAAAAACGTGTCTCTCCTCTTCTGTAGTGATCGCCACTGCATTTGGAATGATTCGCGCGGTCTTTTCTTTGCTAATTTTCAATACAGAAATCGTAGGTATCAATAGCTTCGTTACATAGCCAAACACATTACTGTAGAATGCAAAGTAGTTTGGTGTAATGTACAGATGTCCTTGCAACAAGATGTCGCCTACCAGTGCGCAGCTATAGTAGTTCAATACGCGTTCATCCGCAGCAACCTAATAAAATATTTTAAAGTTAAGTGATCTAATTATTAGGGTTAGTTTTTAAAAGTTATTAAGAGATGCAGATCAATAGTAATGCAGAATTTAGAATTTAGAAATACTATCATTTGAAAAGAAAGAAATAGGTAAAGGATTATAATTTTTATATAATTTTTATGTAATAAAATATATATTTTCGATTTTTATAATTATCAGCATTAATAATTACATTAATAATTATATATACAATAAAAAGATATAAAATATATAATACTATCTTTTATAGATTGATAAAGTTTTTCTTAAATTACACTATATCATTCATATCATTTTCTAATTTAGATATCATTACTATAATTATATAATTAAATACACATATATATTGTGTATAAATAAATAATTTGTTTAAAAATATATAAATTTTGAAAATTAACATTTTGAGAAAAAATAACTTGAGTGAAAGATGAAAAGTATTATGAAAATGTTTTGATATGAAAATATATAGATTTGAATTTGAAAATTAACATTAATATTTTAATTCATATTTACATTTATAAATTATATATATATTATTATTATTATATTTCATGCTTTAATATTTCTTATCAAAATTAAAAATTGTTAAACAAATAAAATTTAAAAGATACTAATTATATTATTATAAAATTTAGATTCTTATTATCTTTTTAATTACTTACATTTAAAATAAACTTTAATATTTTTAAATGTTTATAAAAAATTGAATAATAAAACTTCAATTACGAGCATTGATGTACTTGTCTATTCGTGAAGATAAAAGAATACTGAAAAACTAAACAACGTTGAAGCAACATTTTCATTTAATTCCGTTCTAATTCATGAAAGTAACATTGTGAAAGTGAAACGTTCAAATAAACAAGTGAAACTCTTAATATATTTTACCTGAGAGAAATGCCTATGGAATTTCTTCTGTCTTGCGCTACTGGTAGTTGTTGGTGAGGATGTAGACGAGGATCTGTTAACATTTCCTGGAGCCTGCACGACACCACCAGCTGCCATTGATGGTGCACTTCTGCTAAGCGGTTTCGAAAGATGACTAAAAGAATAGAAATATGAAAATTCAAATTAGTCAAATTATATAATAGAGGTGCAAAATGGAAAAAAATATTTAAAAAAATCTTAGAAATATTCATCAAGAATAAATAAGAGTTATATAAATATATTTAGATAAAAATAATATGAATAGATAACAATTGAATATATAATTGTAATGATAATGATAAATTTTTCTATTTAAAAACTTTCTGTTCTATCCGAATTTTATTTGAAAAAAAAAAAAAAAATCCATGAAATCATATATATGTTATTAGATGAACACAATGAACTATGTTCATGACGTATAAATCTGTGTCAATATGCATATTATAATATGAACAAAGCCTCTTTTTTGTTTTATTTTTTTTTTCTTTTTTTCTTTATTAGAATCGATCTTTCATGAAAAACTAAAAGTGAATTTTTGTGTATCTTTCAAGTTGATAAAATTATTTTAATTCAAAAGATTTTTTAAATAATGAATAAATGTTTTCGACGATATTTTGAGAGAAGATCGATCATTTATATCGATAATTTATTTGAATTAATTTAATATAATATATTTAATATTGAATTGATATATATGAGAAAATGCATTCTGATAAGAATTCTAATAAAGAAACAAAGATATTTTAAATAAATTGTTTTAAATAGTTAGTTAAATATTTTCGATGACATGTTTTCTATACAATTTGAAACTTAAATTATATAAGAATTAATTATAAAAAAAATATAATTATGTGTAATGAAAATTATGAATTTAATAAATATTACTATAAATTTTTTATGTGTTAAAACTTTTTTATAAATTTAAATTTATAAAACAAAAATTTATTAATTATAACAAAGAGAATAATAACCATAATCATAATAAATAAAAAAATCATTTGAGATTCAATTATAAATCCAAAAGTATTTCAAAATTTTAGATACAATATCAGATTATAGATTCATGATTTTAAATATAATTGATGATAGATATAAATATATTTATTCAAAATTTCTTTATGATAGATTTAAAAATAGAAATGTAAGGTAATATTTTGTATCAAATAATTAATAAATTTACTATATATATAATATAATATAACATAAATAATTATTATATTACTCACGGTATATGAAGAATACATATAAATATTCAATGAAAAAAATCAAATAATAAAAATATGCATAAAATTTCTTAAATAATTTCTTTTTTATGAATTCAATTTACTATTCAGTTTTCTATTTATAATTTTATCCAACAAATATTGCAACATACAATTCATCAATCTGCCACTAATCAAATAAGTATATTACGAAAATGAAAAACAAATTATATTCGAATAATCACAATCTTTTGATCCACAAACTTAAGATTGGTTATAGGTATACTAACTTTTCTAACAAACATTAAAAAAACAAACTTTAATCTCTCAGTTGCGTTCGATCTTCAATTAGTCATCAATAGCGTCAGGATGACCGACCGCTCTTATTTTAAATGATTACACATTAAATCAATTTCTGCACCTTCTTTTTCGTATTCTCGGGCTCCAAATGTCATTACTCCATACGTCGTATTCCTGTATGGACATGTTGAAATCCTATTGAAAAGCAATGATAGATCTGATGGATAGATTAAATCTTAGAGAGAGAAAAATACTAAGACTCCACAGATCTGTTGGTATCCAATGTTATCACCGAAAGAATTCCAATTTACGTAGTACACCATACGATTGACGAAACGAACGATCAACTACATTTTAAGGAACTGGCATTAATTCATCGACCGCAACTGCTCGAAGGAATTATTTCGATCGTTAATTGCAGCTTGCTACCAATCGGCTTAATATAAATTAAGGTCGAGCGACGATCGAAGACGATCAGGGATGCGATACCGGTAATTGAATCCGTTGGAGAACATTTCAAGTCGTTAGTTTTTTATTATCCAACGATGATATTAATATATTATATGAACATGATTCCTTTCTTTCACAAAATATGGTCGAGGAGAAGGAAATTGTTGAAAAATAAGTTTTAAAATTGGAGAAGATCTTTTATAAATAAAGATCACTGATGGAACAACGATTCGGATGATCGTAGATTTTTAAAACACGAATCGAAGCACGTGTAAACATTTCTTCTCTCTCTCTTCTCTATTTCTTTTCTGTCTCTTCTCCATATTTCTATTCATTTCTTCGTATTTTTTCCGTTTTTCTTTCGATTCTCCTCGATTTCCCTTCAATTTTTTCCTAATTTCTTCAGTTACAGTTCTCTTACAGTTTCTTTTTCGGTTCTTCTTCACTTTATTTCCGATTTCTTTTAACTCTTTTTAAATCTCTTTTCACTTTTTTCTCCGTGATTGATTTTCAAGAAGCTACACGTCAATCACGAGCAGGAAACAACGTAAGAATTTCAACAGTGATCACGGTTGCGGAGTATCGATCGTTTAACAAACGTCGCGTACGGTATTAGACTGACAAATGCAGGATATATCGTGATGTTATCGACTCAACAGTTTGATATTGATAATACCTGACAGAATATCTCTTTGCTTTCTTCTTTGCAGACTGAAGAACGTATTCGTGGGTTGTCGAAGAAAAATTTTGCGATAAACCAATTCCGCATCTGAAGAATATAGAACGATGTATTTTTTTTTTATCATATTACTGATATAAAAAATAATAATTATGATAGAATAATCGATGTACGTCTCTTAAAATGTTTTTAAATATAAGAATAATTCATTAACGTTAATAATCTGATAATTAATTGATAATTTGAAAAACATGAGAAAAAAAAATGTATCGATATATCTTATATATATATCTTACATTTCGATACAATCTGTTTTTCTTATAATTATTGTATAATTTCTTAGTAAAAACAAAAATGAAAAAAAAACTATATTTTCTATTTTTTAACAAATAAGAAAAATTATATTTATTTATTTATTTCATTTAAATTTTACATAATTTTATTAATTATTAATTTTTTTATTTAATGTGTAATCAAATTTAATATTAATATTAATTTTCAAAGTTAGTTAGTTAGAATAATCAATATAAAATCAATATAAAAAGAAGGAAAAAAACAATTCCTAATTTTGCGATATTTATGATAAGTAATATTATATTACAATGATATAATATATAACATATTCTTTTTTTGGATACAAAAAATTGATCACGTATTCCTTTTTACAAAAATCTTAATAAAAATTCTAATATTTTAATAATACTCCAAATAAAATTGAAAATATTACTGAATTAAATTATAATATAATTAAATTAGATTTTATTAATCTATTTTAAGTTTCTATTTTTTACAGACAATATCAAATCGAAATCAATGATCTTAAAATGTACAAGAAACAATTAAAGCAATAATATATTCATTTTTCAAAGATATTTTTCAAAGACTTTATATGTTTATGTATTAATTTCATATTCATATCAATATAATTGAATTCTAATTATTAAATTAAATCAAAGATTTTATCACTATATTTTATAGATTTTATAGATTTTTCTTATACTTACTTATCACATATCTACAGTTTTATCTAAAGATTTTTTTAGATCAGTTAATTAAAATTTATATAACTCTTCATAACCTTCTATTTTCATTATCCTTTTTATCATAAAAATAATAATATCCTTTTAATCATAAAAATTCTACATCAATTATAGAATATTCATGATTATTTTCTTTTTTAGTAAATAAAGAATAAGTCACATAGAGCTGAATCTTTAAATTTTTTAAATAATAATAATAATTCAGAATAAAAAATTTCAAAAGAAATACATATGAAATTTTATTTGAATGAACAACTAGTAATCTATTTTCTTATAATTTCTTCCTTTCACCTCTTTGTTTCATTTATTTTATTATTATTTTTATTATCATTGTTTATTATTTTTTTTTATTATCATTAAGTTAGATTTTTTTTACATAAAAAACACTGCTGAATAAAGTATTACATTTTATAATAACAATAAAAATTATGTTTTTTATATATAAAAATTATTTATATATTACCAATGAAAAAGAAGAAGAAAAAATTAATTATTTTTGATTAAAAGAATCAAAAAAGAAACTTCAATATTATTTCTTTCTATGCTATATGATATAATATCGTTCGTGTGATGTTACGAATGAAATATGCATTTCGCGTGTCAATGTACAATTAAACTAACTTTCATAATTCTTTTTAAGATAAATTTTACTTGAAGACAGATATTAGACTGGAGGGAAAAGATTTATGGTAACAACGATTTCTATTCAAATTGTGGAATAAATATTTTCTTGGAAGTTATATTATAAATGATCAAAAAATCGATGTTATTTATTCAAAATCTTTATCAGGCAGATGTCGCAGAAACAACGTAATTTGCTTTTCACAGTTTTATATGAACAGGTGTTTCGATATCTCGTGATATGTTATCTCGCACAACTAATAATTTCCTGAAATATTAAATCTGTAACGATCAGTTATGTTATAGTGAAAATTTCATTTCATATTTTTGTGGCAATACAAAATTTATAAAAAATCATCGACGATAAGTAAAACAATAAAAAACTACTACATTAGTTCATTTTAGTTTTAAATAATCTAAATAAAAGTCTAAATAATATAGTTATTTTAGAAAATTTATAAAATTTATAAATAATAAATAAATTGTAATTATTAAAAAATAATAAATATCTAATTATCTGAAAATACAACGAATTTCCAATATGAATATAAATATTTTCTTGGAATATTTTCAGTCATACATATTTCATTATGATACAAAGATCATCGAACTTTATACACCACAATAAACTTCATTAAAACTGCTATCATATCATAATATGCAAATGTTAATTCATCATTGATAATTCATTGTTTCAATTTTTAATACGGAAAGATTTTTATTGTGGAAAAAAGATTAATTAATGTGCTTGATAACTTTTAGAAACAAATATATTTTAAATATATTTATTCATTTATCATTTTATGCAACAAGATATATATTATAATTCATGTTCTAAAAATATTAAGCTAGCGTAATAGTCTTAAGCCTAATAGTTAATTCAAGATTAACTATTTGATCTCTATATACAAATGTAAAATAAATTAATTAAATTGGGATAAAATATAGAGTGAAATATACACAAGATAACTTTAGAGTTGTAAGCAATTTTAAAAGTTTTAGAAAAAGAAAGAATTAAATGAATGGAAATATTTAATGAGTGATTTGTTCAATGAATAAAAAATCGAATCCTCATTAATTTCAATCCTAATTAAAGTAACTAAGTTGTCAATTTCTTTTCTTTCTTTTCTTAATTCATTCATTCTCACACAATTTCATCATATCACACAAAGATATCAAGTAATAAAAATGAAAATAATTTATGAAATATATTTAATGCAATGTGTGTTACATATTTTCTTTTCATAACTAATTGGTACAAACATGCTTATAATATAAAATTAATTTTTTTTATTGAAAATTTTCAATGTATATAGTAAGACATTTTATAGTTCTATGGCTTCATTATGAATTTTTAATAAATATTAATTGAAAAAACTTAACTTAACTTAATATAATGAAATTAAAGTGAAATTAAGACTAGATTAAGACTAGATTTAATGAATGATAATTTATTATATTTAAAATATATTATTCTGTTGTAAAAAAAAAATGGAAGCAAAAACTTGTTAAACTTCAAAGAGAACTTTACCAAAGATTTGTTACACTCTATATGATTAGCCTCTATGAACCAATTTAAATATAAAAGCACGTGAATAGCTTCAGAGAAAACAAATTATCATATTTTATATGACTCATCCTATATGCACGTGGATTGTATATTTATTAGGGATGTATATCAATTTTATTTACTAATCTAAAATTCATACTCTAACAGATGATTAATAGTGTATAAAGAATGTGAAATTTTAATCTCATGAAAAATTAGAAGAAAAAATGAATAACAAAAAATTAATTTCTAAAATATCAAAAAAAAAAAAAAAAAAATCTATAAATGACCACACAAATATTAATCAATTATTCCATTTTCTGCATACATTATTTAAATACTTAATTCTGTAAATGCATAATATTTTGATTCATTATCAATAACAATCTGCAATTTATTAAAAATCTAATTAAATCGGTCATAAGACAATTAATCTAATTTACAGCCAAATTTGAAATTTCCAATTTGCTGCAAAATTATATGTGAGCATCAAAAATAAAATATTTTCTGATGCTGAGACAGATGATGTTATAAATCGTAATAAGACCTGTTTACACGTGGAAAGTGAAAACGAGAAGCTGATTACAGAAAGATCGTAGACTCACCTGTCGTTACATCTCAAGGTCGCGTGGCTCGGGCTTCTTGGAGGCTGAGAGTTATTGGCAGAGGTTACAGTAAGCTGAGAGCCACTAATCGACTGTTGGCCCGCTTGTTGCGCACCAGGAGATACTTGAAGAGGCGTGCTGGGTGCGGATCGTGCTCCTATGGACCCCGCAGACCTGGAAAAATACAGATAAACCAATCAATGCCTCGTTCACTGAAATATTTTTACGAGCGATTTTGTTGGAATTATGCGAGAAAGATAAATCGACGATACAGATATTAATTGTAATTAAGTATTAATTTTTTTTTATTACTCCTCTCTCTCCGCTCTTTTTTTTATTTTTTAAATTTATTTGAATATTTATATTTCAATTAATTATATTATATTTAAAAAAATAAAAGAATAAGTTTTTTCTATTACTTTTTCTAAGACTATTTCTTCAAATTACAATAATTGATATCTTTTATCAAACGTGGTGACATAAGTTCATGTTTTTTTTTTTTTTAATTATTTCATATCAAATAAATTTTGTTTTATTTATAAAATAATGGTTTTCGTAATGTTTAACTAATTTCTTTTTAAATTGTAAATATATTTGAAATTCTAAATTCATTTCTAAATTTAACATTTAAAAATAATTATTACCGATAAACGGTCGTTGGTCACCAGTTTTTTATTATCATATTGCCTATCGTATTTAGTTTGTCAGTGAATAATTGAAGTACAAATAGTTAAGAGTTCATCGGTCATTGCAAATTTTTGCAGTGATTTCATAATAAATTAATCTACCGTAAACAAAGATAGTGTTATTTTTTTTCTTTTCTTTTCTTTTTCCATATTGTGACTCCAAAATAATTATAAAGGATAAAAATTTATAATAAAAAATTTCTTATCAGTTTATTCTGTATTCATTTTCAAAATCTGAATCGCGACATTAAAAAGAAAAAATATTCAATATATTAATATGTAAAATAACAATTGTTAAAAACATACTGTTTTTTTAAAATGTATTCATCACCATAATATTATATTAAAGTACAATTTTTCATTTGAATAATATATTTCACTCGATTCTAATCTCTAATAAAAAGTCCAAACTACAAATTAATCTTTAATATATCAAGATATTTAATTATTAATGAGAAATATTTAAATAAAAAATATGAAGGAAAGTTATATATTTAAATACAATTAACATATCGTATATTACATAAATCATACTTTAAACTGAATTTAAAAAAATAATGAATTAGATTGTAGACAAAACTTAAATTTACATATTAATTTAAACACAGAATTCATATTAATGAAAATGAAAAATTTAAAAAAAAAAAACACATTGATCCATGCAAAACACGAATATAAAATCGTACAATAAATTTTATATGAAAATTATTATACATATTGACGATGAGTAATGTATTAAAACATCAATAGAAAAGAAAAAACAATAAGAAATGTTACATGAAGAATAATAATAATATTATATTCGAAAATTTCTAAACGTACCTAACCCTGGTGACTGGGCCAGAAGAGAGGCAAAAATCGATCAAAGCACGCGTTTCGAATTCCATCGTTCAATTCTTCTTTTTCTAATATTCAGTTTTATAAACACAGTTACTTCTGAAAACGAATTCTTCAATCTGACAAGAATCCAGTATCGATATCGATTTTTTCGTATTTCAAAAATCGTAATGAACTCAGATTCACCTGGATATATATATGTGTATAACAAATAAATTTGACAAAATAGCTTAACGTGCCGTAATTTTCTTCCTTTCAGATAACACCAATACGAACCAATAAAGAGAAGATTGAAAAGCAAGTGCGACGTTGAATTTTCTTCGATAAATTGTGTGTGACAAAAAGAAGTGACACGGTGATTGTTAAATAATTACGTGATAATTTAATTAAAAGTTAAAATTAGATCTTCGTTGCTCCTCTTTACTTTGCCTTGCGAAAAAAAGAATAAATTTCTACGAGACTTTAATACCAATTTAAAACTTTACTGATGGGACGGAAAAAATTGAATTTTATAAATAAAAAGAAATTCTTAAAGAAAATTTATACCAAACTTCGAAAAGGATTTTCGACAATTAATTAAAAAATGATTAAAAAATGATTTTAAACTACTTCCAAGTTGAAGAAAAAATTTAAGAAAAAATTCCAAAAACAATTAATCATCGAATAATTTATCCAAAAATCTTTAAAGTATAAATTTTAGAAAAAAAGAAAAAGAATTTTGAATTAATACGTCCTTCGAAATCAGCTAACAGGGAAATATTGTCGTCCTGCGACAATAATAAACGATTAATAATACATTTAAAAGAATTTTTTACAATGTAAACGATGTAATTTTTAGTAGAAACCACGTTGGAACCGATGTCTCTTAAAAACTACTCGGATTGAGTTTCGTAGATTTGCCCTTAACGAGCTAAAAGCTAATCGAGCAATGAATAAGATGCTCATATCTTCCAGAAAAAACTAAATAATTTTACTAATTTTACAATTATTTATCTTATTTTTGCAATTTTTTAACGATTTTCGTCGATTAATCCATCCTATATGGATTTAAATATCAGAAAATAATAATTAATTAGTAAAAATTTGATAAATTAGAATAAAATAAAGGCAGCTGAGATCGAAGAAGAATATTCTAAAGAGCAACGCGAAGAGTCAACCACGGGCCAGCCGGGAAATCAGACTGACAATAGAATTGAAAAAGAACCACGATGTAACCCCCATTATTTTGACCTTTCGACCTTTTTAATAATTAATGATTGCACTATATCCTAAAACATATGTATGTAACACATGACAACAATGATCTATATCCTCCTGGTGGATATATCACAACGTACGTGTTGATTGATTTCGTGGCATAGAAGGAAAGAAAGAACAATGAAACCGGAAGTGGAGGGGTTTGATGGAAAGTTCTGCAACTGAACAGCTGTTAAATGTTGGGTAATTATAGTGGAAGTTGTTGGATCGAATTACTATATCTTTTTTTTTCTTTTTTTTTTCCACTTTACTATTCACTGTAATTGAAATTTCTAGAAAATATATCCAAAGAAATTTGTTATATTTTCAATAAATTTTTATAAATTTATACATAGAAGAGAAATACAGATATTTTTTTAAAATAAAACCTTAAATAAATAATCTTTAATAAATATAAATTAATTTGTTGTAACTTGAAAAAGCTATATTTTTATTTATTTATTTATTTTTTTTTTTTTGGTAAATAAATTAACAGGAATTTAAAAAACAGATATTTTTATATTTCATTTTTACTTTCATATTTTATATATTTTTATATTTAAAATAAAAGTAAAAAATATTAAATTTAGCCATTTTATAATCCACATTCTTTAATAAATATATTAACACATAAATTTGTATAAATCTGATTTACTTAATATTTTATTTATAGTTCTAATAAGCTATGACTATACTTAAATCTAAAAAATATGCATATCTCTTATTATCAATTATATTAATCAACATCTTATACAAGTATTATAAAACTTTTTAAAATATTTGTATATTCACAAAGCATTCAATATTTCTAATTTCACTTGCAATAAATTATAAATGATTAGAAATTTTAAATTTTAAATATCAAATATCTTAAATCCTCAATGATCACATAGTGATTACATTTGATATTTTACAAATTTTTATATTAAATGATAGTTTTTTTTTGTAGAATAATTTGCAATTCATTAATAAGTGCAAAAAATTAAAGGTATAGCATAATCAAAACATAACCTAACTTTTATCCCAACTTTGTTCCAAAGAAAATTTTTCCGCAGTGATTTAGCTATCTCATTGAGGAAACGGAAAAGCATTTTTTTATTAGCCATTTGGCCGTTTTGCAGGAAATATGTAGCCGAAGCTTTGAATCAGATTGCTTGGCACGAACCCAAAAGGTCGACCGTGCTGCGCATCAATAAGAGGTAAAACCACATTTGAAGAGAGCATGAATTGTGCACCATATCTTTTTGCAAACCTCACGTCTGCTTAAAAAGAGAGATAAAGAAAAGACATTTAAGAACAATACCGCATTTATCTGCATTGTACTCGATTTGACATAAATACAGGGCATTTCGAATTGAAGTAGAATATATTCCGAACAGGCGATAAAATTCAATAAAGACATTCGATTATCTGAAAGAAAGTTGAAAGTAATTTGAAATCGTCTTTCGGAAGATGAATGAATATTTAAAGCGATTTAGTTATTTATATTTTTTTGCTGCAAATAGAGAATATATTTTAAGAATTTAATTAGTAGTAATTCGTTAAATCTTTATCGAATTTTATATGTTATGATTGTAGATATAAATTAGATTTTTATCTATTTTTAAAAGGAAATTATGTTCTACGAATATAAAATTTTAATTTATCATACATTTTGATATAAAATAATCGTATTTGATTAAATGTCATTTGCAATTTTTAATAAAATAATCAGATTTAAAATGAAAATAGAAAATATTTCAAAATTCGTACGTAACGATTCAACTATAATGATACATCAAGTGAAAGTCATATATAGATTTTTCCAGAACTATTATATTCTTAATGTGTCTTTACAATGTTAATAAAATAATCTTTTGCTATTGTAAAATATTCAGTATGCATTATTGAAACATGGCAGGTGTACATCATTGTGAATTCTTTTCGAAGGACGCTAAACAACAAACAATAAACTAACAATATAGTATAATGAACAATATTTTTTTTTTTTTTACAATAAGCAAGTTGTTAGTGAATGATAGAAATACATTTATCGTGAACGGCTACAATAATAAATTATAAATTCAGAAAAATGTTTCCTTAAGCGATAAGATATATGAAGCAATTATTCAATTAATTATTGGACATAAATGTCTTAAGAAAAATGTCTTAAGGAAAATTTCACTTTTGAAAATTTTGATTCTTATTTCGACTACTTTTAAAAGAATCTTTTAATTAATTAATTAATTAATAAAAAAATTATGTTGGATGACAAAAGTAGAGATATTGATAAATAATTCTAAATTTTTCTACTTCACACTCTTGCATAAAAATTTAAGTTTAACAAAATTATCCGATAAATTATTATATCAATTAACGATAATATATCTGGATCGATATATTTTCCATTAAAATGAAATCATAAAAACGAAACAT